TGTGTGTGTGTGTGTGTGTGTGCATATATTACACGTGAACGCTCGTATAACACGTTTAATATATTCCGGCAAAAATGTCGAGATTAATTAGTAATTAACTATATAGCATCGTATTTACAGATTCACCTTCCTCTCTATTTGGCTGATATATTCGTCGAACTTGTTACCTAAACACACATATCTATATAGTCTTTATCTACACATGTATAAAGTATACTCTAGAGACGAATCAGCCGTTTATTTAATTATTTTTTGACTTCTTCCTTCGTACATTACTTTTGTGCGTCGAGTTGTGTCGCGTCGCGTCGCACTGTGAATTTCGTCATTATAATTTATTATAATTTAGAGTCGATGGATGATTAACGCATATATCTGATTAAGCGTTTGGTTAGCTTTCGCGCGAGAGATGTACATGTGTACAAATATGAAAATCAAATACTCTCGGATTGTCAGATACTCTCAATCTTCAATATTTTGACATTCTCGAGACGCTCTTGACATCTTTCTTTGGAGACAACAGTTTTTATCCTTTTATTGTCTAGTGGAATTGAGTTTCATCGCATCATCATTAGGTTTTCATACCCTACAAATGTCGATAAAGAATAAATTCGATTCTTTGATAGGTTTTTTTCTTGGGACATTTTCATCAGTTTCTTTCCGTGAAAGAAACAGTGCTTTTCTGTGGCATATTTTGTTAATTATCAAAATTATATTTTCATTGGCGTAAGAATGGCCAGTCTTTAAATTTAAAATCGTCATATTCGGAGAAATAAAGATTTAAAAACAAATAAAAAAAAATTTGAGAAAGGATCTCTCTCACTCATTGTCAGTATAGATGTATTTAAGATATTGTTCTCATCGTTAAAAGATTACGCCTAAATTGCGTATTTCTAAACCAAATTATGCAAATAATAGTGTCAGAAGATTCAAAGTCAACAACGAGAAGAATCATAAGAGACACGACATGCTCGAAGAATATATTATATATTGAATAGCCGATGATCGGAACTGATAAAGATCTCGATAAATATTGTTGATTCTGCCTGAATATGTAATTTCCAATCAAACGAAATCGATCTTAAAACGATCACTTTAATAACGTTGCATTATTATGGTCGGATTAGAATTTGGACTAATCCTTTGTAGCTTTGAACAGCTGATGATGCGTCAAGAAACTGATTAGAATAATTCCTTAAGAACAATTTCACTTTGCGTGCCTATTATTCGGGGCGCAAACAAAGCATACACAAACGAAAGAAAAGAGTTCATTAAGGGACTATCGAAGAGTACGACCAAGTGACGGCGTAATTTTCGTCAGGTCACTCGGAGTAACTGGTCTTATCGCTGGCATCATCGGGACTGGTCTCCCGATAGGCGTCGCCAGTACCATTGGCATGCAGACTCTGGTTGGGCGGTTTGATGACAGTGGGCAGGTAACCGGTACCGGTGTAAGGCGCGGCCAGGAACCGGTGCCGCGTCGACGGTATCGGGGTGGTGCAATACGCAGCGCGGCTCGCGTAAGCCGCCGCCGAGACGGACGCGGCGGACGCCACGGCGGCCGATGCCAGGGCGCCCGCCAGCGGCGAAAACGCCGACTTGGGCTGCAGATTGTCCTCGCAGACCAGCACCTCCATGGCAGACACCACGTCGCCTGCGACACATAGGCAAATTCTCTTTTGTTTCTTTTCGACAGAGCGTGCCCGCGGCAAAAGTTATGACTTTTCACTATAGCGATGACTTACGGTTTAAGGCCCCTTCCTAGTCAGCCAGAAACTCTGAGTTGATGGTGGCGACACTATCAGTGATGAAAATTAGAACCTTGACTA